TCTTAATGGCCATCTCGTTGAGGAGGTTTACATACGTCCTTCCCTTGGCTTTCACTATTTCTCTAGATAGGTTTATTGTCTTCGGTATGTTCTGTATGGTTTGAAGCAATCTCCTCATGCTTGGTATGATCGCTTTCAGAATGTTGTTATTGAGCTTGGGTTTCATCTTTTTGCCCAGGACTCTGCTTTGTTTCTCCTCCACACCTTTGCTGGTTTTGTTGCCTTAGTACTGTATGTGGATGATATAATTATTACTGGCTCTGATTCTTCTGCTATCTCTAAGGTCAAGCAGCATCTCTTTCGCACCTTCGAAATGAAGGATTTGGTCCCATTGCAGTACTCTCTTGGTATTGAGATGGCTTTTTCTCCCAAGGGCTACTTTCTGTCTCAGGCCAAGTATGCTAATGAAGTTATTCACCGTGCTGGTCTTACTGATACTAAGATTGCTGATACCCCCATTGAGCTTAATGTGAAACTTAAAACTACTGACGATGTTCCTCTGTCTGATCCTACTTCATATCAAGAGCTCGTGGATTGCTTAGTCTATTTGACGATTACTTGCCTTGATCTTGCCTATAATGTTTATGTGGTTAGTCAGCTCGTTTCTGCTCCTCGTTCTACACATTGGGCTGCATTGGTTCGGATTCTTCGTTATGTTCGCAATACTATCTTCCAAGGATTGCTATTGCCCTATATTTCTTCCTTGGCTTTAGTAGCCTATGCTAATGCTGATTGGGCTGGTAATGTTAAAGATCGTAAATCCACTTCTGGTTTCTGTATGTTTTTTTGGTAATTCCTTGATTTCTTGGAAAAGTAAGAAACAAACTGTTGTCGCCCGTTCTATTGCTGAAGCTGAGTACGGTGCTATGGCTCATGCTATTGCTAAAGTTGTCTGGCTTCGTTGTCTTCTCTCTGACTTCGGCGTTCCTTAGTCTTCTCCGACCTCCCTCTATTGTGATGACCATAGTGCTATTCAAATTGCCCATAATACTGTTTGTCATAAGCGAACAAAGCACATTGAGATTGATTGTCACTTTGTTCGTCAGCATCTGCAATCCGACTCTATCTCGCTTCCTTTCGTCTTTTCGGCTCTGCAACTTGCTGACCTCTTTACCAAAACTCACACCACTGCTCGGTTTCAGTTTTTTCTTGGTAAACTCTTAGTATTTTCTACTAAAACACCTTGAGTTTGAGCGGGGGGCGTGAGAATATTAGGTTAGGTTTATATATATGGTAGTGTACATTGTGTATATATTCTGAGAGATTTTGTATATATATGATAGTGTTTTCTTTACCTTTTTAGTCTTAGGGTTAGGATTACTATATAATCAGATGTATTCTTTGTATTACAACACAATTGAATATTCAGAAAACTTACAGGCACTCTCACCTTAATAGCTAGCTTTAGGGGGGTGAGTTCTATCCAAGATTGTGTAACATGGTATTAGAGTTAGAGTATTCAAGGTGGGTAAGGTGCGTGTCTCTGGCCTGCACACTGTAGGTGCTATCGAGTGAGCACGCTGGGTGTGAGGGAAGGTGTGAAACAAAGTCCCACGTCACTTGAGTACTAAAGTAATATTAAGCATATAAGCGTGAGGCACCCTCACCTTAATAGTTAGCTTTTGGGGTGAGTTCTATCCAAGACCGCATAACATGTTATCAGAGCCGAAGTACTCAGGGATGGGTAGGATGCGTGGCCCTGGCCTGCATGTCGTAGGTGTTGTCGAGTGAGCACGCTGAGCGTGAGGGAGAGTGTGAAGCGAAGTCCCGCATCACATCACCTGAGTACTAAAGTAATATTAAGCATATAGGCGTGAGGACACCCTCACCTTAATAGCTAGCTTTTTTGGTGAGTTCTATCCAAGACCGTGTAACACTTTCATCCTAGAATTTAGAATTTTGCTCATGTGTGCTCTTAAAACTGCGTGTGCAACTCAAGCAAGTTTGGTTGGGTTTGGAGCTTGTCGAGGCCCATCCGAAATGGCACCAAGGCTTGACCATGCCAACCCAAACCTAAGCTCCTAACCCAAGGTCCCAAGCCCAAAGCTTCCCTAAGCTCAATAAATTCAGCTCTGGTTAGCTTGGTTGCCCACAAATGAATAGACTGGGTTGGGTAAGCTAGTTTTTTATGCTGCCTAACTTATTATTTTGGGCTCTTATGGGCCTTTTAAATTTTTGACAGGCCCATTATGTTCTAGGTTTTCTATAGATACATCATAGCATATAAAGAAGGTTTCAACAATGATGTAGAAAGTTGACTGCATGTTGTGAATAAAAAGATTAATGGCTAAGTTATAACCCAATAAAAAATCTATAGATACATTATAGTAAATAAAGAAGGTTTCAACAATGATGTAGAAAGTTGGCTGCATATTGTGAATAAAAAGATTAAATGGCTAAGTTACAACCCAATAAAAAGGCAAATTGCTGTTGGATTCTCCTATGGACAATTCAAGAATTGATTCCACATTTCTCCTGCAGCAAATTAACTACATTGTTAAGGCACATGGCATTAACATAAAATTTTAAACAAATAACAAAAGAACAATACAGTCGTAAAAAAATTCCAACTAGTATGAAAAAAATAAAAAATTAACAGATCAAAAATAGCAGCACGAATTGATAACAACAAAAGGAAGTAGTAAATATGTTAAGGCAGGTTGAAGAGCTCTTGGTTCTTGTTGACAAGACAATCAAAATCTTCCCAAGCAAAACTGCAAACAATAGTCATAAAAGGGCCTCTTAAGGCATGCAAAATGATCAAGTAGATGCAAACTGTTGGAGAACATGTAACAAAGTTAAACAAAATTACTTGTCTTGATGCAACCAAACAATCTCACTATTCCTATATATATATGTCACATGTATATACAGCAATGGAGCTAACAGTGCTATATATGTCACATGTATATTGAACAAAATCCATTCAAAATTGCCAATCCCTTAACAAAATTAACACAACTCAGAGAAAAAAAAAACAAAGAGGAGTCGGCTTTGAGAACACAGAAGTTATGCATCGTATTCTGAATACAAATTATTTTAGAAAGAAGCCGTAATGGTTGTTTTATATATATACCATCATGGTGGTGGTGGTGCAGACTGCAGTGGTGCTTTGATGGTGCAATCCAATTGTTACAGTTGGACATACACAAAGAGAGTTTGAACCCTATTTGTTTTGTATCCAATAGTCGGGAAAGACAAATCCAATAGTTGTGTATGCTATACATACATTATAATTTGTGCTTGGGCTAGGTTGGGTTTTCTGATGCCTTTGCCCAGGCCTGGCCCGCACTTAATTCTAGTTGATGAAATCAGCCCAAGTTTGGTTGGAATTTTCCAGGCCTGAAAAATTTTCAGGTTGGGCTCGAGATACTTTGGGTTCAACCTGCCTGAGTTAGTAGCTTAGTTATTTAATGTATGTGTAGACAGTTCCCTATATGTATTGGACGTGGCGAAATCAAGGGAAAAAAAAAAAAAAAAAAATCAATGATACATGGTTTATGCATAGTTGTCAAATTAGGATACATATCGTGTATCAATATTGTGTATTATAAGATTTTTTAACGTCTTTAAAAATATTATAGAAAAATAAATATAGTCAAATATATTTTGAGAACAAAATAAAACAATGTATAATTCTTAAAATTGCAAAAGTAAGATTCATTGATTTAAAAATATGTATACATCAATGCTTAATGCAAATAAAACGCAGAGCCGAGTTAAAATATCCGTAACAAAAGATATAGCATTCTAGTACATTATTATATTCTTGAATTAGATTTACTCTCAAATTTTTTTCTCATTATTAGTAATTGTGTCATATATTTTTTATATAGTCTTCACGCACCAATTAAGTTTTAATATTTAGGCCAAGTTTGGCATCTACTAAATAATACAAAAGTCAAAAAGTCACTATCCTATTTAAGTCACAACATCTTATTTAAATCACATCACCTCTCTAACACATCACATCAAACCCAACCCAAACTCAACTCATATAAGCCAATAAGTCAAAAAGTGCACTTTTTTAGAACATCCCAAACCAACCCTTAATTTATGACTTTCAAGTTCTCCAATAGCTTGCCTACAATAGAAAAGTTTTTTCTTTAACTGGTATAAGTAGGCTTAAATCATTAGTACAAGATACTTAATGGCATACAATAAGTATATATTTGTCAAAAATATAGACAAAAATAAAAGAAAAAGTATCAAAACATTATTTTTTAATAAGTTAATGAAAATTTCTAACAATATTAGTTTTTATAAAACAAGTTTAATTTATTTTTTTCCCCCAAAATTGCTAAAGAAATTTAAGTATTTATGTAATGCACCATGTATCGTAATATATATTTAATGTAAGATATGTATAGATGATAGTATCGAATTCCCTTTAAAAAGTATTGAATTGTAAGATACGTATTGTGAATCGTAAGATACTGCCAACACTTTATGGCTAGTGATAACTGTTCATTCAGCTTGTTAGTGTATCTATTGAAATCTAAAAGTCAATCTACTGCACAGTTAACCATATAGGTGAGACGAATAGATATGCGATTGCTGCCCAGCCGTGGTTGCATATCCTGCACTAGGTACAAAGTGTTATTTATTTTGCTCATCTATCTCTTTCTTATTAACCTGGAAGACTATTTCCTGTCCATTTGACCATTGAGTAACAATCTTGACCCACTGTAGCATGTGTTGAATCTCACATTAGAAGCCTATATGGGGGACGCGTTTATATGAGAAGTCTAGATGGGGTTCTTGGTATATAAGCATGAACAAGGAACCCAAATGACATTTTGGCTATCCCTTTGGGGTGAATTCTTGTGGTTGCTACCTGGTTAATGGATTTATTGCTTTTATGTGGATTTTGTTTTGATTTCATCGGTGTTGCTTATGTCATCTGTTTAGTTATTATGTTAGAGAATTCTGGAGTTTGATTCATAGCACATTATGTTACTTGCTTTTACTAAGTCACGTAATTACTATTCTATTGGCAGCTCTTCCATCAGTCAGTGATGTGAAAATTATTGGTGATGCTGTTGAAGGAAATACCATCAAAGGTGTTGGAAAATACTTTGGTGGAAGGGAAGGTCCCAGCAGATTTGAATGGTTGCGTGAGGATAAGAACAGCGGGTTAGTATTCTTTCTCATTGCTAAGCTATTATCATGCTGGAATGGAGGACTGGGTGAAACAGTCAAATCTTAATGAGCTAGTTTGACCATTTGTTTGTTTGTTTGTTTTTTTCTCACAACAAACATATGATAGTGAAGATCAGGTGGTTCACATGGTTTTTTAAAATTGCCATTTTGGTTATACAAACATCGTATAAGATGTGCTTCAAATTATTAATATTCTTTTATGGTGGGATTCTAGGAGTTAGGGATTTCGTTACAAGGTAGCTGTTGTTGAAATCCCATGCTTTGGTCGAGCATGGTGATTGGTTTGTTTGGTCAGGTAGGCCAAAAATTTTAGGCAAATATGGTCTGACATTGTTGATTATGCTTGATCACCTTTTTTTTTTCTTACTTTGGATTAAAAACACTTTTTGCCTCAATGTCACTTTGGTCCCCATCTTTTTTAATTTTCTCAATTTGATCCCTAAAATTTACAATTTGAATCGGAATGATCCTATTCCTAACAGACATTAACTTGGCTAATATTGAAGGGGCATTTTGAACTTTTCAACTTCTTCCATCCATTTCTTCTTTAACCATAGCCGCCCCTCCCTCCCCCTTCCCTTGTCATCTGCCACCACCCCCTTCTCCCTTTCCCTCCCCATTTCAGCTACCACCCTCTCCTTCCCCGTCCCAATTTCAGCCACCACCTCCTTTTTCATTCCCCTAGCACAACCTATATTCCTCCTCCATCACCACCACCACCACCATTAAGGGCAAATCTAGTAATTTTGTCCATTAGGGGCAAAATCTTACATTTTCCCTATTTTCTTTTCCGAGTTGACATGTTCCATTGATGTCCATAAATCAATAAGGCTACTTTACTTTGGTATCAAAGTTTGCCTCGTGGTAATGGGCTTGTTTGACGCAACTTATTGTAAGCCAAAAGTTGATAATCAGAAAGTAGAAGGCATAAACATTCCTCCCCCCAAATTCTAAATAATCAGCTTTTTTCAGTTTTTTTTTTGGGTAGGTTCTTTTTTTTAGCTTATTTAAGTTATTTTTGCCTAATAAGTCATAAGCAGAAGTTGCACCAAACAGTTTGGCAGTCTCAGAATTAAAAAAATCAAAAGCAGCTCTAATAAGCTACACCAAACAACAACTACATTAAGACCGGTGGAAAAGCAAGAGTTCCACCATATGATATTTGCACGGTGATAAAAATTTATATAATATTTGCTTATTTACTGCCATTGATAAACAAACGCCAAGTAAGAATGATAAATTAATCCACCCAGATTAACACAAACCAAATACTCGACACCAACAAATAACTATAGTAAAATGCAACAGTAATAATTTTTTATAATAGAAACTAGATGGTTGTTACGATATTTTTATAAAGTTGAGTGGAGGCAAATGCTCTATTGGTGCCAATGTGCATCCGCCCCTGATGACTGTAATCTCCTTCCTAGTGTTCTCAAATGTGCGTTGAGGCGAATGGGTAGGCGCATGGCACACCTGAGGTGCCTCAACACCATTGAGGCAAGGCAACTTTAATGAAGCACATGTGAGGTGCTTGAGGTGTGTAAGGCGTACCAAGGCACAAGGTGCAAAGAGGCACACATCTTTTTCAACTGTGCCTAATTTGTTAAAGATGCAATGTCAACCCTTTGATATAACGAAGCCTATTGTAATTTTATATATTCCACACATGCTATCAAAGCACCCCAAATAAATAGATGGTCTCAATCTTAGACTACAAATTGAAAATAATTGCCTAAACTTTTATATTTTGGCTTACGTATCATGTTTTGTTTTACTGTTTCTTTTTCCTTATTGGAAGTAGTAATGGTCAAATAGTAATGTGCAGGTAAAGTGTTTATTGTTAAATGACTTAGTCTGCTTAATTGGTTATTTTATTTACTTAATTTGTTTAAATACTTAATTGCTTAATTAATTTTAATTTTTTTTAAATACTTAATTGCTTAATTAATTACTTAATGGCTTTGTTGTATAATTGTTTAACTACTTTTAATTGTTAAATTTGAATTTATTTAATTTGAAAATTTTGATGTGGAGTTACTTAACACAACGTAATGTGTTGGGTAGCAATAATCTCATGTAAAAACACAATGGTTCATTCATTAGCACATGGTAGATAAAATACTCAACAAATCTCTCAATACTCATAAAAATTTATGCAATATCTATACATTGGCTTCACTTGGATGAAGCCTACGCTTCACCCCTAGGCTTCAAGATATATTGGTGACTTGGTGTGCCTCTCGGCTTAAATAACACTTCCCCTTCCTCTTCCGCATGAAAGTTGCCACCCTCTCCTCGTGCCCTCAACCACAACCATTACTCCTCCATCCTCCCTCACCACTGGAAACTCTTCCTCTTCCCCATCATAACCATCACCCCTATTCTCTCCCCCATCACAGCCCTTAGCCTTCACTTACTCACCACTAGAAATCCTCTCCCTTGCCCATGACAACCACATCATAGGCCAGCCCCCCCTCCCCCATCACCACTTGGAACCCCCTCCATTTTCCCCATGATAGCTGCCACCTCGTCCTCTCACCTTCATATCTGCCACCCTTTCCCCACAAACATTGTAACCCTCTGCCCCAAATTCCTCAACCCTCACCTCACCATTGCAACCCCCACCTCAAGTCCTATAATCTCCCACCAGAATCTCACACCACTAGAGATAGAGAGAGAGAGACAGATAAGATGGTTGAGATGTTCAAAATGCCCCTTTGTTTTTTGTAAAATGTCCAAAATGTTCCTCAAGTTACATAATTTATTATGTCATCTATAAATAATCAACATATGACAAAAATTGATCGAAACTTTTTATTTGTACTTACTTTCTGTATCATTGATTTGCTGCGATAATATTTGGGCATCATTTGATTTTTTCCTTGTAATTTGACTAAAATGTGTGCATGAGGTACATTATTTTTTTTGAGCTTCATAACAGATTGGACAATTCCTGCTTCAGCTTGTCTAATTTTGCTTGAAGAGCATGTGGTTTTTGTTTGAAGAGCATGTAGTTTTTGCTTGAAGAGCTTCATAACAGATAGATCTTCTGTAGTTTTTGTTTCATCATTTTCTTATTTTTCTTCTTACTGACCATTATAATTTATAACTCATTGTAATAAATATATTTTGATGAGTAAGAGTTTGAGGCGATATCATATTGTTATGAATTTCAAAATCCATTTTCCCTCAATAATGTGATTTTTTCTATGAGGGGGAAAAAAGTACAATTATTGTCGTGATGGAAGTGTTTTGCAAGTCTTGGTTTGTTATTGAAAGTATTTGTTGTGGATGCTTGTTTGTATGACATGTATGTATATATGTATTGGACATAAGTTGATAGGAGGATAATACACAATTCTCAATTTTTTCCTATCAAATATAACTATATTACTGAAGCGATACATGTGAGAAAATTAAAGTATTCGATAATAATATAGCATTACAGATTGACAATGTATGAACACAGTAACATATATAAATTTACATTTATATATATATATATATTATATTTATATATGTAGACATTGATATATATAAGATATCACAAAAGTAATATTTGGAAATCTTTTGCAACAATATAATACAGGTAACAAGGCGAATTTAATTATTCATAATTAGATAGTTGATCATAATGTTGATATTTATGGTTACATTTTTGTGTGTATGGACCATTTTTTAATTAGATTACTAAATTCACATAAAAATTGGAAGGAATTTGTGAATAATTTGTGTAAAATTAGAGATTAGTAAGGAAAGATTTAAAAAAGAAAAGTTGATAGCGTTTGGTTTGTGGTTTTCATGTGTTTTGTTGACGGCGCTATTGTTTTTTAATAGCCCTTTTATTTTCTTTTTAGATTCACTTATTTGATACTTTTTTATTTTTTAATTTTACTTTTAGATTTAGATTCACTTGATATTTATGGTTACATTTTTGTGTGTATGGACCATTTTTTAATTAGATTACTAAATTCACATAAAAATTGGAAGGAATTTGTGAATAATTTGTGTAAAATTAGAGATTAGTAAGGAAAGATTTAAAAAAGAAAAGTTGATAGCGTTTGGTTTGTGGTTTTCATGTGTTTTGTTGACGGCGCTATTGTTTTTTAATAGCCCTTTTATTTTCTTTTTAGATTCACTTATTTGATACTTTTTTATTTTTTAATTTTTCTTTTAGATTTAGATTCACTTAATCTAAATACACATAGAAAATAATTTTTTGTGTATTATTTTTGGTAAAAAAGTTATTAATATTAAATAATAAAAATAATCATAATAATAACGACGATGATGATGATGATGATGATGATGATGATGATGATGATGATGATGATGATAATAATAATAATAATAGTACATGTTTGAATTTATAATTTTTTTTTACCAATATTTTACTTTTTAATTCTATTTAGATTATTAGATATTAGATTTGCATGTAAAAGTGTAAGTTAAATATAAAATATGAAGAAATTCCAGTATCTTTAATCACTAAAACTGAGAAAATATGAAAACCAAAAATTGGAAAACAAATTTAAAAAATAAAACCAACGAAAATTGTTCTTGTTTGGAATTTTGACATCATACCTTGGTAATTAAAGTACTATGTAAAATATTATTGCTCATAAAATATAATTTTAAAAAAATGAAAGTATATGAAGATAATCTACGAATTTTTGAGATGTAGCACAAATTCTGTTTTAAAAACACATGCGCTTTCCTCTATTTAGATTTGAAAAAATGTATACAATTTTAAGATTCAGCCAAAATTATTGACAATGATTTGATTCATGGTGGACAATTGTAAATATTATGTATATCAGTATAGAAACAGACACAGAAAATAAGAAAGAGTAATTGTTTTTTGTTCTTCAATCATGATCAATGTAAAAAATAGGAGGACGACTTTCTTTTTTTTTTTTCTTTCTTTCTTTCTTTTTTTTTTGTGATAAGGGAGATGATTTGTTTATATTTATATAGAACTCTTGGAAGCAGATATATCTTTTTGACTGTTCAACTCCAAAAATATATAGATAGTTGGTTTATATAGGACTTTTCATGATTTTTAGAAAATATAGTAGATTTGAGATGGCAAAATTGGGGTTTAAAAAAAGTAGAAAACATGGTAGGTTCTTCACATTTTTATAATAGTAGTAGATTTTTTATTTCCCCCTTTTATGTACATTTTATGCTCAATCATTTTTCCCAAGTATGAGAATGTTGGTTTTGATTTTTTATTTCCTTTTAACAAAAGCATTCCTTGTGTTGGTAATTTGTACTAATAAATTATTTCTTTTGAAAATATAGAGCATTAATAAACTGAACTATATAAAGTGAATTAAGATAGAACTTAATTTTTTTTGGCCGATTTTGTAATCCTATTCTAATTATTTTTTTTTTCTGTTTTCTTTTCTTTTCTTTTTTTTAAATTTTTAAAAAAAAAAAAAAAAAATTTATCTGGCAGTGAGTTTGTATTAGTGTCAACAGGTACAACTGAGTACGCTATAACCAAAGAAGATGTTGGCCAGCAATTGGCTTTTGTGTATATTCCTACAAATTTGGAGGGTCTGGTCATTCTCTTCTGTTTTATTGACACATTATATGCTTCTTACGATGTATCGTACTCATAGAATGTATGTATCATTTTTTTTTAAAATCTTGGTTCAATAACAGGGCAGGAAGGCAAGTCTGTATCAATACTGTCTCGGATTGTTAAGCAAGGTATCTCCAGTTAATATGCGCAACTGAAGAACTTACTTTTATTGTCTTTGTCTTCTTGTATATATGTTTTTTTTATTTGCATTGTGAACAAATTTTACAGTCTCTGGGATGACGGAACCTTATTTTTTTTCTTTCCCTTCTATCAATAGTTTCTCCATTTCTTTTACATATGTTTCCTTAATTCTGAATTTTTGATTAATGTACAATTTTTTTAAAATTTTATTCACTCTTGGTGCTGCTCTTGTGTTTTTGAGTACTGGTATGCCAATTTTTTTATGTCACAATTATCACTTAAAGTCTTGTGATCTTATATTTTTGTCCTAATCTGATTCTAGCCCCACCAAAAGTAGCAAATGTGAAGATAATTGGTGACATAAGGGAGGGAAGTAAGGTCACGGTCACTGGTACTGTGACTGGAGGAACTGAAGGATCTAGCAGAGTTCAATGGTTTAAAACAAGCTCTTCAACATTAGATGGTGAGAATGGTCTTGAAGCAGTAAGCACATCAAAAATTGCAAAGGTGGGACATGTTATATGTTGGCATTTGTATTCTTGGTTATTATTTTGATGCGTTCTCAATTGAGCTTTTGACTTTGTTCAGGCATTTCGCATACCTTTAGGAGCTGTTGGCTATTTCATAGTTGCAAAATTTACTCCTATGACTCCAGATGGTGAATCGGGTGAACCTGCATATGCTATATCGGAAAGAGCAGTTGAAAGTAAGTAAATTTATTTATTTTGTTAGAAATTAAATTACAAGGGAAAAACTACGTGGACAGTATGTGTGTCTATTTGTATATATGAATACTTGATGTCAATCTGAACAAAAAGGGAATCCTCTCTCCCTGTCTCTTGCTCTCTCTCTCTCTCTCTATATATATATATATAATTTATTTGAAGCAAGGTCTACCAGTTGAATTTGATGCTTTGCATGTTGCAATTTACTTGGCAATATTAGCAACATCTTATATAGGGGAGCTTTTATTTGCACAAACAAAACAACTCCTTACACCGCCATTTTTCATTCGGATAATTTTATTTCCACACATCAAATCCTATTAGTGCACATCTTTTCTCAATACACACACCTAATGAATTTGAAATTTTGTGTTTTGCTCAGTACACATTATATTGTACCAAAAATACCCACATCTTCATCATTCAAACCCTAACCCTAACCCCAACCCCCTAAATCCTTATCTTCTTCCTTCATTGTTGGCTAGCTACCACTTCCTCGATCAGAAACTTTTACTGCCACTGACAAATTAAATATAATGAATTGAATGGCTTGTCTAGAATAGAGACTAGACCATATATTTATATGGATGGCGAATATACAAAATAGGAAAGAAATCATAATTACAAGAATATTGCCTAATATCCTGTGATTGCACAATTACGAGATGTTTTATTCTAGTTCTAATTCCAACACTCCCCCTCAAGCTGGTATGAAGACATTCAACAAACTCAGCTTGACAATAGATGGTTAAAGTGATGTTGGATCAACAGACTTTGTGAACATATCATCTAGCTATTCAGAAGAGGAGACAAAGGATGGACTCACAATACTAGTCCGAACCTTTTCTCAAATGAGATGTATGTCAACCCCTTCGTATTTAGTCTACTCATGAAGTACTAAATCAGAGGATAACATAGTAGCTAATTTGTTGTCACAAACCAAAGATGAGGGAGCATCCTCTTCAAACCCTAACTTCGTAAGGATAGAGCGAAGCCATAGAACCTCACATATACCTTGTGTCATTGCCCAACACTTAGCTTCAGCAGAAGGTCTATAAACAACTTCCTATTTTTTACTTTTCCATGATATGAGATGATCACTATAGAAAGTACAAAAACTAGACATGGAACATCTATTAGTTCTAAACCCTGCATAGTCTGCGTTAGTGAAAATGAGTACCCTGCATGCATAAATTGACTCACAACACTAATTACAAATGTCAAGTTAGGTCTAGTGTTAGTGAAATAAATGAGGTGGCCAATAAGGCGTTGATATATGCTTGGATCCTTCAATAACTCCCCAGATAAACTTGAGATTAGGATCCATAGGGGTAGAAGCAGGTTTGCAGCCTAACATACTAGTGTCTTGAAGAAGATCAAGACCGTATTGCCTTTGGAACAAGGAAGTCCCCTGACGAGATACCCAAAAAATATTTTAGGACCCAGATCTGTAAAATCAAATGGCTGACTTCAAATCCCTGTTTACTTGAGCTATGCCGACTGAATTGTCACCTATGAGAATGATGTTATCAACATACACAAGCAGAACAATGCACTGACCGGTGGAATTCCGGCGACCTAGGCAGGGTTGCAAGTTAGAGATGAGTGGAAATCGCGATTCCAGTGACGAACAAAGTTAGATCACACAAAGTTGTTAGCTCTAATGTTTAGACGAGCTCTCAATATTGGCGACGAATGAAGTCAGATCAAGGCACAGTTTTTGGTCCTAGGGTTCAGATGACTTCGTGATTTTGACGACGAATGAAGTCAGATCAAGGCACAGTTTTTGGTCCTAGGGTTCAGATGACATCGTGATTTTGACAACGAACGAAGTCAGATCAAGGCACAAGATTTCCAGCATCTGACAACTTTGATACCATTAAGTCTTTTTGAGAGAAAAATACTATTGAATGATTTGTCGTATAAATAACAATGAAAACAAAGCAATAAATAAGATCAAACCTAAATGCTAAATAATACAAAAGTCTAATCTACGCTCATAAAAATATAGTATATCTTACAGTTGATATGAAGTTTGTGGGTTAAAGGAACCAGTGGTCATTTGACGATATTGAGGTTCTAGTTCATCAAGTGAAGAGTAATCTATCTCTATATCTATCTATCTATCTGTATATTAAAGGAACCATTGGTAAATGGAACCAATAGTCGTTTAACGATATTGAGGTTCTAGTTCATGAACTGATGGGTGAATCCCTCTTCAGGTAGTTTTTTTGACTTTATATTTGCCCTACAGATCGATTCTTTTTAGAGCCAAAAAAAATAAAATAAAAAATGAAAGAGTGGTGATGGCACCAAAGATGGTAGTTATTGTCAACTAACATGTTTTAAGAAATCAAACATGCTTACGAAGAAGTAAAAAAACTTGGATGATGTAAGATGAAGCATAGGGTTATACTATATGCTAATATTGATCAAAGTAGGGTAGAATCAAAGATCTTGCAAGTCTATTCTTACCTTAGGGTGGGTAATTTTTTATATTTGCTTGTGAGCAAAATCATATATATACATGTTATGAGAAAATCAATGGTGTTAAATGTAGGTGTGCCATTTTGAGTGCTTATCAAGTTGGCTATGAGGGAACTGTTTGTTTATTATAAATGGACCATATGATGCTCTGTCAAAAACCACTATCTTTGCAAGTCAACATTCTCTTTTCTGTGTCTACATCTTTCCCATGATTTGTAGAAATTTTTTCATTCCCTCCCTGGCTAGATGTGACATTGAATCTCACAAGAAGTCATCAGAGCGAGATTATTGTGCTATCTGGGACTGAAAAATCTGGATTGCATTTCTCAATACTACCAAAATCATTCTCAACACTTTATCACAGATTAGCATGAGAGTAGAGATCAAATTGATCCCCCAAGTTGAAGCTGCAAAAATGTTGAATTTTCTGGAAGCTACAGAAATACTGAAAACACCATTTTTGTGTATTACTACTGATGCAGGTTGAACCCCTATAAAATGGTCTCCTATTCAAAGCAAGCTTTGCTAGATGGGATATCAAAAAACTCATCCTTTTTTGTGTTGTCAACTGTTTCTTTATGGTGCTTGTTTCAATGTCCTTATAGGCATATCATTACCAGCTTATTTGGATCCTTCTTCGTGGTAAATTAATGTTGAAGTCTACTTGATCTAATACTAAATCATATTTTGTGTTTGAATGAGAAAAAAGCTAACAAAAAGAGGAAAGAAAAAGCTTTTGTGGAGGAAGCATTAGAATTCTCACGGATCTTTCTTCTTAGTACTATTAATGCTATGCTCTAAAAATAAATAAACCCCACCACAATTACCGTACTGTTCAACAGTATTTATCTCTCTCTTCTCATTGAGTAAATAAAGATGAATTTCTTTATAAGTTTTTGAGGTGTGGATGCTTGTAGACTTTAGGTACTGTTCAACATACTGGTTGCTTGTAGGGTAGGTATCCTTTGTGCTGTTTATTTTTTGCACTGTGTATGTTTCATTCCATGTAGGCTAGCTGTGATTTTTGTTTTCGTGAATGCTTAAATTTTAATCATTGCTTTATTGCTTGCAAGTTTCTCATGTAGCTGAGATTCTATTATCCCATTCAGTACATGTTTGTTCCTGAATCTTTTGCAGTCTATTCTGACAATTGTACACCACTAATATGTATTTAATTATTATCTTTGCAGATCTTCCGCCAAGCCTAAATTTCTTATCTATTACTGGTGATTACTCTGAAGGTGGAATACTGACAGCATCGTATGGGTACATCGGGGGTCATGAAGGAAAAAGTATTTATAATTGGTGTCTTCATGAGGTATACCCTTTTCCCCTATTTGTTTTATTGTTTGTATGGTGTAGCTCCTGCAATTTTGATTGTGCACATGTTAATTTCTCTCAACTTTCCTGTGCCAAAGTCGTTGAATTGGTAAGTTGTCCTAGAAACGTCAATGATTTGTGAGCCACCTCACTGTTGCCTGAATGGAGATAGAACAACTTTGTTGCAGGCTTGCAGCTGATGACTTGGATTCTTAAATCGGCTTTGATACTGATATTGTATGCGTTGTGATTGGGTTTTGTGGTTCTGGATGCATTATTGCTAAGATTTTTATAGCTGCACATCTCATGTTTTCCCTAGCTACCCTGAAATAAGCAAATTAATAGAGAATTGCTTCATAATAAAGGCAAACAAAGTTACTTTTACATTGGCAAGGGTGAAGATAGAAATTTAAAAGGACCTACACTTGCCAAAATTATTTAATAAGCCAGTGTTTACTCAACACAATGGAAAAATCCCTGAACTAATGGAAGCCCATTATTGAGTTCGGAGGTCTGGGGTGAAGTATATGGTCTGAAACCTTTTAGTCCAATTAATGTAACTGATAGATTTCTATTTTTATTAGTAGTACTATTTAAGATAGGATTTAACTAAATAATTGCGTAGATTCCAAAATAATATTAGGTTTAGTTTCCTATGTTAAACTAGGATTTTGCCCTATAAAAAGTAGGCTAATGTTATTGTAATATTCAGACTTGGTTTAATAATATTTAGGAGTGTTTTAGGTTTTGGCCGTTGTGGGTGGGGGTGTTCATAGGTCAGTTTGGGTCAGTTTTACCCTTCAATCAACAATCGAACCGACTGCATTGGGTTGGACAAATGGTCACCCATGGCCGGCCACCTTCCTATTTGAAATCAACCGAACCAAACTATATGGTTTGGCAGTCGGTTTGGTTGGTGTAATGCTGTCATGACCCCATCTCACCCCAAACAGGACAGTGTAATAACTGGCCAGTAGTCATAGACTACCAAAGGCCTAACTAAACAAAATGAGTTAGACTGATGATAATTGGGGCGAATTTTTGTTTTAAGTTGCGGAAGCCATTAATTTCTTTAATTGAGTCCATTTGAAATGTCTATTTAAACCAGTGCATAATTATATGAAATGAAACATACATCATTCTTGATTATATCAGTTAGTTCTTTTACAAGGGATACAACATTTTGAAGTAACACCATTTCCAAAGCTAAGTAACTTTCTTTTCACTAACATTGGCACATAGACTTCAAGAAGCCAAACTCTCCATGATACGTCTCTTTCACCTACATATATATAAGGGAGAGGGGGTGAGCCAAAGTCCAGTGAATAGTAATATAGTAAAGTGATAAATGAATGAACATCGATGAGCTTTATAAAACATGGTACAAGAATCATAGTTTGAACATTGGTTAATAAGGGCATGATACATCAAGGCTTAGCTTTCAAACATATTATGGCCTTGTTTGGTAGGGTTTATTTTCAGCTTATTTAAGCTTTTAGCTTAATTTAAGCTATTTTGGTGTGTTTGGTTCAGCTTAATAATACAGATTATAGCTTTTTCTAAGCCAAGAATCAGCTTTTTCTTTGAGTGGGACAGGAGAAGCTTTTCCAAACAGCTTAAGCGCGCAGCTGCCATTTGAGGGGCAAAATGACTTAAATGCCCCTTACAATTTCAAGTTATGACAAGTGTGCCATTACTAAAATAAATTTTATATTAATTAATACTAATTAATAATTTTAGTACTAATTTATTACAAAAAGCCATTAATTGCCACTAATTAATTTATGATGAAATAATTTTATATTAATTGATTTATAATGAAAAAATGAAAATAATATTTATAATGAAAATAAGCCATTAATTGACACTAATTAATTTATAATGAAATAATTTTATACTAATTGATTTATAATGAAAAAGTGAAAGAAATAATTTATAATGAAAAAATGAAAATAATAAATTATAATGAAAAAATGAAAATAAGCCATTAATTGACGCTAATTAATTTATAATGAAAAAATGAAATAATTTTATACTAATTAATTTATAATGAAGAAATGAAAATAATAATTTTTGTAATATTAATTATATTAACTTTTATTAATGAAATAATTTTTTTAAAATTAAAACTGAAAAAAAAATGACAAAATAATCATTTTTATATCATATAAGGGCAAAAAGGACAATTACTCTGCTGCTTAAATTCATAATCTCACAGTTACACCAAACAGATTAACAGCTTATGTTCACAGCTATAAACTATAATCTGTTAAGTTATAATCTATAATCGCTTTTCCACAACTCTACCAAATAGGGCCTATATAGTGATGAACATTCCAAGGACCTTGACAAGGAATAACCGGCCCAAGTACCGATTAGACACCCCATCAGAGGTGGCAAAGAGCTTAGCCATCATGGTGTTATTGGCATGTTGTCACATCCCCCAATAACTAGGACGTTTCCAAGGGTGTCATCTTCATACATGATACAAGAGTATGGGATGTTCATTCATAACAAAACATTAGCAAAACTTTCATAAACATAGCATAGGTTTTGCATTTCAAATCATAGCTTAACAAACATAATTTTACAATATTATTACTCACCAATGGCTCTTACGAAAGGGGGGGACTTCCAAAGATGTAACCTACACAAGAACAATAAAAGCATTCAATGAAATATGGTTCAAAGTGATAATACTACTCTTTTCGGTTCTAATTCTAATTTTCTGGTTTATGATTATATTAATTCACTCAACCATAGACTTTTAGGTCTATTTTCAAGTCTTATTCAAGTTCATTTCGAGTTCCAATTAGGCGAAACGAGGCCCGGAGAGTGAAAAGGGTGAAAAAGAAGCCAAACGGGCCAAAAGCCCTGTTGGCTGCACGTGCAGAGCTTATGCAGTGCTGAAATTTGAGTTGGCTGCACGTGGGGAGGTTTTGGCTGCACGTACGGCCGCTGGGTGACAGAATTCGTAGTCTAACTTCAAATAATCATATCTTCCTCATCCGGTCTCGGTTTTGGGTAATTCTTGAGTCTAAATTCAAGCCCTGTAAGTCTAGTTTCTAACGGTTGTGGTCTCACATCTAAAATCCAAGTATACAAAGAGAAATGATTTAATTAGTGAAGGCTGCTTACTTTTCTCTTAACTATTTCATTCCAAATTTTTACCTAACTTAATTTCCTTCCATTTCTGCCTATTTTCTTCAATTCAAAACATCTAAATATGATATAAAACATATAAAAATGTTGTAGGATGGTTGGTTGAAAGATTCTACACAAAACCCTTTGATTTATTCAAGCAAATGGTTGAATTCCTACAATTTATTCTCAACCTAGCTTCTTTCCATTTCTTTTCTTTTAATCTTATCATATCTCAATCTTCCCCTAAATATTTACTAGATATCATGATCAAGACGAGAAATATTGACAAGAACTTACCTTAATTCAAGTATTGGAATGCCTAGACTCAAGCTCTTCAAGCTCTAATCCTTGTTCTTCCCCTTTCTTCCACTTTTCTTCTTCCTTTCACCTGCCTTCTTGTTTCCAAATTTCCAGCAACTCTCTCTCCTCAAGGCTGAAATTTTGTGTTTTATAATGTAAGAGAGACACTTGTCTTGCAAGGGTGCAACCTAATCTCGTAAGTAGGAGGTTTAAAGATTTTGGTTAAGGTGGATGCTTGCTACACCTAGTTGCTTGGTTCACCTTCTAGCTTGCTTCAGCTATGTGTTTGCTTCACCAAATTCCTAATCCTTCTTCCTTGGCTTAGTTAATCAAGGTTAGGTCTCTAATCATTATTAACTTAATTAATCTTGATTAGGTCTAGTTAATCATGCTTAATTAGCGCTAATCCCGATTAATTTTTGGTTCAATATTTGAAATTGCTCTACTCATTAGACACAAGTTATTAAGCTCCTCAATTAAAGTTTTCAAGATGTTTAGGGCATCATAAATTCAAGTTAAACTCATCTCCTAACTCTTAGTAATCTTCAAGTATTTCTATTCTTAGGTTTGTTTTATCAAGTCATGCTTTTCACTTCTAAATTTCTTACCAATTGCGTTCATCTTCTAAGGTTTCATCTTAGCAATTCATATTTTTATTTCTAGAGCATTGTAAAGTAATTAAATTTGGGTAAGTATTTGATCATGTCACGTAAAAATGCTTTTGATGTGGTATACACTTGCTTACTATGTTCAAGAGGTGACTACTTCCTAAGTCTTAATAGTTGACAATGAAATTCACATGTTCAAAGCATCCTAACTACTCATTGCTAAGCTTTAGTATTTTCTGTAATGAGATAGTTAATTAGACTTAGGGTATTCAAAGATGGATAATAATATGGTTATGGCTCGTGGCATTATTTGGGGTGTTACATATACACAACTCAAACACTATGGTTCTAATTCAAGCAAAGTAAAAAATATGGAGGGGAATGGAAGAGGGACAAGACTCGTTCAAAGCCGCCGCCACCACCATCATTTGTTTTCTGTAATGAGATAGTTAATTAGACTTAGGGTATTCAAAGATGGATAATAATATGGTTATGGCTCGTGGCATTATTTGGGGTGTTACATATACACAACTCAAACACTATGGTTCTAATTCAAGCCAAGTAAAAAATATGGAGGGGAATGGAAGAGGGACAAGACTTGTTCAAAGCCGCCGCCACCACCATCATTTGCCACCCCAATGCCATTGCTATCCTGTGTCACCATGGAATAAAGTCATCATTGTGGATCTACTACCATGTATCAACACCCTCTGCCTCCACCATTTATGATTTCGAGGTGAAGCAGATTGAAGAATGAGGGGTAGATTGAAGATGGAAAGGGACTTTTGGGAAGGAAAGATTGAAGAGGGCAAGACGAAAAGACAATATAATTAATTTAGGACAAATATATTTTTCGAAGAAAGGAAGAGAGAGAATTAATGGAAGAATATATCTTGAATACCGAAGAGGTGTAGAAGAAAAGAAATAGTAGAGAAATAATGAGTTT